AGTAATATACTTTATTAACTACTACTTTATTATTTAATTAGATAAGTAATTTAATATTATTAATATAATAAGTAGGTAAGTTATTAATAAGAAAATTATATAGGCTATAAAGTATACTAGTAATATAAATATAAGAGTTATATATTATAAGGGTATAGACTATATTATCCTAAATATATTAAGTAGGCTATCTATATAGCCCCTTTATATAGACCTAAAGTAAACTAGCCTATTAAATAATATACCTAATAATTATACTAAGCTATAGCTTAATAGCCTCTAGGTAGTATACTATATAAATAAGAACTTCCTAGAAGTATAGCTTATAGTAATACCTATACTATATATAAGCCTTATTAGTATAAGCCTAGAATTTAAAGAGTAGCTATATTATAGATACTAAGAGGACCTAGTCTAGGTATATATATAGAATACTATTATATATAATAATAAGTTAGCTACTAATAATAAAGCTAAGCTCTTATTTAAGATTAAAGATAGGCTTCTATAGAAAGTAGTTATAAATTACCTAGATAAGCTATATATCCTATATACTATAGAATAAGATATTTTTAAGGCTATCTATACTAATAATTATATAGTATATAATAAGCTTAAACTAGTACTAAGGTAATACTATATATATAAAGGTAATAAGTATTTTTAAGAGTTCTTATAGTATTATACTAAATACTAGGAATACTATAAGTAAGTATATATACTATATAGGAACCTATAGCTACTATTACTAGTACCTATACTATACTATTATATCTTAATTAACTTTATACTAATACTACTACTCTTAGAATAAGAGTATATAGTAATACTAGTAGTAGTTTATAAATTTAGTAAGTTAGTACTAGTAGCCCCCCTAAAGGATATATCTAATATAGTAGAGGTAGTATAAATCCTACTTAATATACTATTTAATAAAGGCTAGGGTATTCTTAAGATTATACTCTTAAATAGGGACCTAAAGTTTATAGTAGTATTATAATAGTATATATAGAAGTAAATATATATAAAGCTTATATATACTATAGTATACTACCTATAGATAGATAGCTAGATAGAATAAGTAATCTAGATAATATCCTTAGCTATCTAAGTCTATATTACTAGTTTAAAGAAACTAGTATAATAGGAATTAATTATACTATAGCTAATCTTTTAAATTAATAGTATATAATCTATATTAATAGGGTACTTACTATATAAAGTTATTAAGGGATTTAACCTTATAAATATACTAAACTACTTAATTAGTAATATACTAGTAAAACTAAACTATAAGGTAGCTAGAGTCTTAATATATAACACCTTTACTATTACTATAGTAATAATAAAGAACTATTATAACTAGTAATATATAACTTACTTCTTTATAGTTAGTAATATAGTATATCTTAGACTATATAAAGGATATACTATAGTTAATAACCTAGGGTGTAAATTTAGGAAGTAATTTATAGGACCTTATTATATTATAGAGTATATTAGCTATACTATATACTAACTAGTACTACCTACTATATTATATATCTAGCTAGTAATTTTAGTAGACTACTTAGAGCTAGTATATAGGCTATTAGTAAAATCTAATAAGCTACTAGTAAATATATAGATAGCTATTAAAAAGGCTAGCTATATAACTTTATAGGCTAGAGAACTATATAAGTATACTATAATACCTAAGCTATTATAGCTTTATATAAAGGACTATAAAATTATCTAGATAATAAATAAGAAGTATAAGGATAGTATATAATTTTTCTAAGTATAATATTATAATCTAGATAAAAGTTATAATAAGTAATTATCTACTAAAGAGCTAGGTAAATATATAGTAGTAGTATTAAAAGATTAGATATTAAATAAGTACTATTTATTATTAGACTGCCT